AAGCCGTAGAAACCTATGATTGCAGTACGAGGTGGTCAAATAGAGGGCTTAATTTAGTTAATTGCGTGGACGTTGTTCATAACATCAATCATTAGTTTGTCTGGTGAGTTGATTAAAGACGTGTTTTCGTGCGGCGTTAAACAACATTCAGTCATTTAATAATGTCGCACACCCCTTTAACACTGGTGTATGTATTGCACGCAATAATGTAACTATTGTTATGTTTTACATAACATACAAAATGCAGCAGAGAGGGTTCGGGTGATCCTGGCACAGCCAGGCTGGTAAGGCTCATCATCAGCTCAGGGCCCTTGCAACCCTCTACACGCAGCCCAGACAGTGAGTGGGACTTCTCCCAGGAAACGCTGCCAAGTCCAACCCAGCAAGAACTTTCCGGAGAATATGTAGACTCCCCAACACTGCAGCCTTCTAGCCTTACCCAGAGTGTCAGAAGGGCATATATACTCATGCCAGTATAGGTTGTCACCCCCTTCATGAGTATATATTGTTGTTGTTGTTGTTGTTGTTGTTGTTGTTATTATTTTTATTATGTCTCATTGTAAGCCACACGAGAACTCTATTGTAATGCATCTTCAAGGAAAAAAACGAACATGACTTATACGTATTACTGAAACTTCACATATAGTTGATATTGCTAATGTTAAGAACCCACTCATCCGATGGTAGGTGACCAGATAGTGGACACCCGAACACGTGCAGACACCTAGTTGCGGGTATAGTCATGTGCAGTGTCATTGGACAAACTGCTGTGATTATGTGTCCCAGTTCACCCAGCTGCAAATGGGTACCTTGTGATGATGAGGGTGTGTGATAACTCCCCAGGGAGAAAAGAATGCCAAAAAAAACCAACCATCCGTTGATCAAGGGAACACTCCAACGCCTTGAGCATGGACTAGTTGCGTGGTTATGTGCGCTATATAAAATATCCTATAAAACAATACCGGAATATGTTGGGTTTCCCATCAAAGTAAAAGAAGTATCGCACATTTTTGAGACAAATTCCTATCCTTAATCCGAAGAAATGTCGGTCACCAACCCAAACACACACACACACACACCCACACACACACACCATATCCCCTACCCCCACCCCAACCCCAGCTGGCACCCGTGAAGGTTAGAGCTGATCTTCAGTAACCCATACTTCTCGTAAGAGGCGGGGCGGTGGGGTAACCTAATGGTTAAAGTGTTGGCTCGTCACGCCGAAGACCCGGGTTCGTTTCCCCACACGGGTACAATGTGTGAAGCCCATTTCTGGTGTCCCCCGCCGTGAAATTGCTGGAATATGGCTAAAATCGGTGTAAAACCAAACTCAGTCAGTCAGTCAGTCATAAGAGGTGACAAACGGGATCGGGTGGTCAGGCTCGCTGACTTGGCTGACACATGTCATTGTATCCCAATTGCGTAGATCGATGCTCGTGCTGTTGATCCCTGGATTGTCTGGTCCAGACTCGATTAATTACAGACCGCCGCCATATAGCTGGAATATTGCTGAGTGCGGCGTTAAACAACTAAGGAGAAGGGTCGTAATTCTATCAGTAACATACAGGAATATATCATCCATTACTTATACCCCATGCCAACCCCCAAGACTCGGTTATACCTACAATTTACATTCCAGACACAAGAACACTTCTCCATAAGCTCTTCCAGTCGACATAACATCGAGAAATATAGCAAGAAAGGTCGAGCACAACTACTTCACAATCTATAGAAATTCTTCATATGAACATATAAATTGTCAAAATGTACCCACAGATTGCCATAATGTAGATATACGAGTTGTTATGACATTGACAAAGCCGTTGACATCGCTCTTGATTTCGAGATATACTCATGTAGATAAGAAACGCTCTGATATTAACTTTCTCGGCGGTGAAGCAGTATTGTCATAAATGCCACGGTTTCAGTGAAGACTAATTTATGACGACTAAAATATCCCTATCATTTTCAAGTGAGCTTGATAATTGTGTGTTTGTACTTCTATGTGATGTTAATGTTGCGAGGGCAAGAGTTTTTGCTGTGTCTAGGGTTCATGTGATAGTCTGTATGGCGACAATAAGTGGTGTTTAAGACACGGTGTCAAATTTCACGAGGCATTGAAAGACGTACGTGATTATTAAATCTTGAATAATGAGAATAATGTGTTTGTTATTTAGCGTGTCATGTTGTATTACTACAAGCTAAAAGCATATGGTTTGTTTCAGTTGGTTTTATATTTCATCATTGTGAAAAGTTTTGAAATACTTGTTATAAGTGAAAGTTTATTCTATTTTGTCGTTGTAAAATCTTTATCTTTCTTCTGGATGATATACAATGGGTTTGTCAACGCAATATCGACTGCTCAGCGCGAGATGGACTCTGTACATACAGGTAGAGTGCATATCTTCAGTTACGCATGCTTGTATTACCATAATGATTTTGTGAAACGGAATATTGTCACACTGGAACACTTTAACCGATTTTATGTGAGTATTGATAATAAGCTGTTCATGTCGTACACAACAAAAAGGAGAATAGCATATTCATGACGGTGCTTACAAATGAAATAAACAAGACGAGAAGTGGTTGTTCGATGATGTCGAATGTTGTTGTTGTTGATGACGATGATGTACGTTTCTAAATGCTAGTGAATAAAAATATCACATATCATGGAATATAAAAACACTATTTCGTCACCAAACAATACTTTAAAATGTTTACAAAATAGTTTGCTTTGTAGGATGATATATACTCATGCCAATAATGGTTGTCACGACCCTCCCCACCCCAACCCCACCCCACACTCTCACACCCCACACCCCTCTCCAATAAAAAAAAATTGAAGGGGGTGACAACCATTATTGGCATGAGTATATAAAGCCCTTTCAGACTGAATTTCGCATAGATACCGCTTGAAAGTGGTATCCGTGCTAAACACCTCATGGAAAAATTAGTGTTGTTTGAACATGAGTGTTGAAATACCTACATACATGCACTAAACCTACATACATACATAAACAGTGCGACTTTGTTATCCGGACCGGGGCGCGACAGATCTTGTCGAATTCGTCCGGATAAGCAGGGTTCCAGATTAAGAAAATATAGGTATATAGCAATGCCTTTTATAGATATGTATACGTTCATAACAGCAAATCTCCTGACAGTAAGAGGAGGATCCGGACTCGAGGGGTTCAACAGTATAAACATGTTTACCTACCACAAACAGAACCGTTCAGAGATAATGTTGTGTGACAGATAATGTAACCGAAAATATGATTAACACTTAAGATAACGGTACATATCTAGGTTACAGGTTGTAATGCTGTTTAATCTTCAGAAACTACACTGACTTAAACCTTAATACCTTCTGGCTCCCGTTAGCATTGATCTAAATGTCTGTGTCTGGTGCGAGTAAACTAGATCTGTTTTAAGTAGTAAGTCAGTGATTATGGCTTTTCGTCGCTTTAAACAATATTATAGCAATATGTTTACATTAGTTCAGTAATATGTTGTCAATATTTCAGCATCCACAGAGCGAGACGCACTGCATCCATGGGGAGAATCGAACCCAATTCTTCGGCGTGACGGACGAACACTTTGACCGCTAGACTACTGCTATCAATCTATAAATAAACGTTGTAGTGTGAACCATATTTTGTCGATGGAAAAGGAAAAGAATGACCACTCATAAATTTTATTTGTTCATGTTGTTTTGTTTTGTTTGTCATGTTTTGGGTTTTTTTGGTTTTTCTTCTTTACTTTTTCCTTTTCTTTTTTTAAATTATTTTGTTTGTTCTGGTTTTTGGGGGGTTTGGTTGTTTCTTTTATGTTTTGTTTGTTTGTTTAGTTGTTGTTGTTTTTTGTTTTTGGGGTTTGTTTTTTTGGGTTTTTTTGTTAAGGGGGCGTCTGTCGTTTATTTGGGGGGATGGATGTACGTTGTTTGAAGAATACCACACAAACATAACTGTTATGATTATTATTATTGTCGATATTGTAGCAAACAATTAATTTGCTCCTCACCCAAAAACCTATCATGGTTCGGATGACCTTTTACTGATTTTCTATACCTTATGATGACAAATTCCATAAATACAATAATATGACCATTCCTTTGGCGACGGCAAGTACTAATATTATCACAATGTCTTAGACACCCTCAGTTAACTTCACTTATGATGTGATTCTCTGTGTTCAAGCAGCACCTGAAGCGTTTGTGTTTCACGCGCATAGAACATATTTTACGAACGCTTCTATCAATGAATACACAGTGATCCACGCTTTCAGAGTGAGGCACAAATCGCCAGCACACAAAGTCAGCGATCTAACCCACTCCGCCATCGGGGCTTCTACGAAAACATGTACTTTGTGTATCTCTCTGACAAGCGTTGATGGTAAGGCTCGTTGACTTGGTTGACACATGTCATCGTATCCCTATTGCGTAGATCGATGCTCATACTGTTGATCACTGGATTGTCTGGTCCAGACTCAACTATTTACAGACCGCCTCCATATCGATGGAATATTGTTGAGTGCGGCGTAAAACTAAACTAATTCACCTTTCTCTACGTATCGGTGATATAAGAGACTTTCATGAAACTAATTTCAATGCCATATGTGTTTATTTCCCCAAAATAATGAAAGATGCAATTTCGAAAAGCATGAAAATACAGAAGGGGTGTGCATATATTTTTGCAAGCGATATGATATAAAGCAAAAATGTGAAATACACTCAAACACCTTTGTGTCGAACTTACGGTTGTATCGAAGTAAATGTGTGGTCCCTTTACAATATGTCTAAATTATATATTCATAAATTCTTCTATAGTTTCGAATTTTGGATAAATCGAGGTACTTACACGTGTCCTTTCATCTTGGCACAATGGTTTGTTTCACTTTTAAATATTTGAAACTTGGAATACAATCATTTATTTACTTACAAATGAAATTTATTTTACTTTTCGAATCTCTGTCAAGTACATTCTGTTCGTTTAATTAGGTTGGATGATCGCGACATATATCTGCGGCCGCACCTTTTGTTTGATAAGGCTTGCACGACACAAGTGGTCTCAGATATCACCATGAAGTCGGTCGTGTGCTTTGGTCTTTTCGTCGTGGCGGTTTCGGGTATTGTATTTTATGGCAGTTTTAGGTCCTGACAAAATACCGTTAGTCTGATACTGCCAGGAACGATAATGTGTTGACCAATTGGCATTTACTTAATAACTGTTATTAACATTTACATGACGACGAAACAGAGTGACCTAATTAATGCAATGTACGCTTTACTCATAGTGACATTACACTATTCAGTTACTGACATTATTCAGTTACTGTTAGTATTACAAACACGATCACAGAAACTCAGAAACCGCGAATCTGCCATGTTGTGGAATTTCTAGAATTTAAACGTGTATGTGTTTTTAGGTTAATTAATTAGGGAAAATGGTGTACATATTTCGCCACCCATTAGAGGTGTATTAATCGTGTAAATAGAGATTTCGGATCCCCAGTATTTCTGACATGTCATCAGAGAATCCCCTTTGGTTTAGAATAGACACACAATAACGTAAGCTTATCCTTAGAGGCAGTCATATGGTGAGTGAGTGAGTTTAGTTTTACGCTGCTTTTAGCAATATTCCAGCAATATCACAGCAGGGGACACCCGAAATGGGCTTCACACATTGTACCCATGTGGTGAATAGAACCTGAGTCTTCAGAGTGACGAGCGAACACTTTAACCAATAGGCTAGCATACCGTCCCGGCAGCCATACGGAGCTGGCGGTGAAGCTCGGTGACATGGGTAATAGAAGAAGTGGACCGATGCTCATAATATCGACTACTGGATTGTTCGGTCTAGACTCGAGTGAGTGAGGGAGTGTTTAATCTTAAGTCGCTTTCAGCAATATTCCAGCAATATCACGGCGGGGCAAACCGAAAATTGGATTCACACATTATATCGTGGGGAATCAAACCAGGGTCTTAGGCGTGACGGGCGAACGCTTTAGCCACTAGGCTACCCCACGGCCCCGGGCTAAACTCGAATATTTACAGGCTGTCGTCTTACAGATGCAATATTACCGTGTTAAACAACAAACAAACAAACGTAAGGGAATGCTGAGATAACGATCATTTGGTCAACTGGTTAAATTCAGTGTCATCCTGCTCCAGTTAAAGGGTGCTCATTATATCAATCACTAATTTGTCTGATCTATATTCGACTGTTTACACGTCTTATTGCTTGCGTTTTATTTCTTGCAGCCTCGCCCGCTCTGGTTAGTCTGCGTAAGTGTTTTCTTTTACTACTTCTATTTCAAGAAGGAAAATTTCTCATAGAAGTTCAGTTCTAAATATTTTAAACCAAAAACAAGCTTTGCTCATACCAACTTTCAGATTAGCGTTATTATTTTTTAAGTCAGTTTTTTTATTTAATCAACAGCAATATTGCTTGTGTAGTAATAACGACCACTTGTTTTATAGGGGCAAGGGAATCGTCCAGTTGCCCCCCATCTTCTGGATTAGGAGGTGCTTGTGTCTTCATCAAAGGCATCAACTGCATCACCGACAGCGAGTGTTCTGATGGTAGGTCTTGAGCTTCTCTATTCTAAGCTAGAGCTCGGTCGCCAGTCGTTTTGCTGTGCAGAGTTGCGTCCCTTAGATGAAACAGAGGCCAATGCCATTCGTGACCAACTCGTGTTATTCCGGGACAAGCCGAATAGCGATCTTCTTGGGGGTTACGGAAAGGGGCGAGTGGTGACGAATGAGGCCAATGATCATGGGTTCGAATCCCGGTTGCCCTGATCATGTTTATAGATTTGAAAACATGACTGTTAAACCCAATCCACTCACTCTTTACCATGCTAGCGTTGGTTTTATTATCTAAGTCATTGTTGCTTGTACATTTAACGTGCCAAAACAGCTTCTACATTTATTTATTTATTTAAGAAACAGCTTTACGAGGAAGCGAAGGATACTTTCTTAGTGATGTTTCATAGTTCATCATTATTTAAATGAGCTGTTAATGTATGGGTGATCAGTAGTGCTCATACATATCTCATTGATAATAATTATTTTATTTGTCATTAATGTATCGGTATATTGTTTAATGAAATACAATCTTTATGTTTTGCACATGAAATATGGATGATAAATTCAATGTATAATTAAGCGACCTTGCAACAAGTTATCTCTTTCTGTACAGGTAAAGTGTGCTGCAGCGAGGGGTGCGGCAGTGTCTGCAAGGCCCCCCTCCACCTCCAGCCAGGTAACACCGTGTATTGGCTTTAACATAAAACTTCATACAATAGTCAAACAATCAACATGGCCTCACCGTGCTTAGCAGAAACCTCAACTGATGTTCAAAGGTTTCAACGTTTCATTGATCTGATCTGCTTGTTTATGGAATGAGTGCCCAATTTTTAAATATTACCCGTGAAGGTCCGGGTTAGAATGAACCTTCAGTAACCCATGCTTGTCGTAAGAGGCGACTAATGGGATCGGGTGGTCAGGCTCGCTGACTTGGTTGACACATGTCATCGGTTCCCAATCGCGCAGATCGATGCTCATGCTGTTGATCACTGGATTGTCTGGTCCAGATTCGATTATTTACAGACCGCCGCCATATAGCTGGAATATTGCTGAGTGCGGCGTAAAACTAAACTCACTCACTCACTTTTTACATATTGAAAAGGAAACATATACTATGTGGGAGATTGTAAGTGTTGTCTGTCGATGGAGTCACTAAAGGGGAGAAGAAAATGATCAGAAATAGAATATCAAATATCAAAAAGTGGTGAGGCAGACGGGTAGACTGTTCCATTTTTCTGCAGCTACATTTTCGAATGTTCTCTAGCCAAAAGTTGAGGTCTGATTTTTTGGAATGGTCAAAAGTTTTTGCTTAGGTGATCTCAGAGGTCTCAGGGGACGATAGATGTTGAGTAGTTCAGTGAAGTATGGTGGAGCAATTTTGTGAAAGCTCTTGTAGGCATACAGAAGGATTTTATAGTCAATGCGGAAAGAAACTGGCAACCAATGGAGCTCTTTCAGTACTGGGGAACTGTGGTCAAACTTTGACGCTCTGGATGTGATTCTGGCAGCAGTGTTCTGAAGGGTTTGAAGTCTTTTGATCTGTTTTTTAGTGGTGTTGGCAAGTAAGCACTTACAATAGCCTAATCGGGATAAGATAAGAGAAACAGTCAGTTTTTGTGCAGCAGGTCTGGTAAGGTATGGACGGATCTTTCCGATGTTTCTGAGATGATAGTTTGATAGTATGTTAAAGGGAGATAACTCTTGGCCAATTGTGATCCAAGCAGATTTGATTTGTGTCATCGAAAAGCCACGTTATGCCACGCCGATAGAATGCCTCATACATGACATACATCGGTGTATCTCGACCTAGACTGGAAGTGGTCAGCAAACGTATAGTATACAACACTATCTTTTTAAGATATATATGATGACATTCACTGTATCCATATGTGAAACTAGATCGTTTCAAAGACGAAGGAGTATTCATAGATATATTGTTCACAATATCCTGGTAATGCAGGTGATTTTGTATGAGGGATAGGATTTATATTTACTTACTCACCCTGTATACTTACTTACCCACCCTGTATATTTACTTACTCACCATGTATGGTCACTTTCCATGTATAGTTACTGACTCACCATGGTTACCTGCGCAACATGTGTGGCTGTTTACTCACCATTTACAGTTACTGATTGACCAAGAATGGCCATATACTCATAATGTACTGTTACATACGCACCATTTATGATTATTTGCTCACCATTTACAGTTACTGATTGACAATGTATGGTTACAAACTCACCATGTATGGCTTTATAACTCATAATGTACTGTTATATTCTCACCATTTATGATTATTTGCTCACCATTTACAGTTACTGATTGACAATGTATGGTTACAAACTCACCATGTATGGCTTTATAACTCATAATGTACTGTTATATACTCACCATTTATGATTATTTGCTCACCATTTACAGTTACTGATTGACAATGTATGGTAACAAACTCACCATGTATGGCTTTATAACTCATAATGTACTGTTATATTCTCACCATTTATGATTATTTGCTCACCATTTACAGTTACTGATTGACAATGTATGGTTACAAACTCACCATGTATGGCTTTATAACTCATAATGTACGGTTATATACTCACCATTTATGATTATTTGCTCACCATTTACAGTTACTGATTGACAATGTATGGTTACAAACTCACCATGTATGGCTATATAACTCATAGTGTACAGTTATATACTCACCATTGCATACTTATTAACTCACCGTGGATTGTTACATGTTATGAACTGTTATTTATTGCCTGTATGTCTGTCTTTCAGTGAAGCGCGCATCTGGCTCGTGTCCCGCCCCTTCTGGTATGATAAGTATTTGTCTTTTCGTCCCTGGCGTCAACTGTATCCAAGACAGCGAGTGTTCTGACGGTAGGTTTGTCTTAAAGGGTAGTCTGATCTTGTGTGATGTAGTTTGTAAATCCATTCTTATTTACTAGAGTGTGTGATTGACCCTGTCCAGAGTTGCTCCCCTTAGGGGTTCAAGCCCATGAATAATATTCCAGGTTTGACCAACATTACATTGGATCTTCCTCCCACAACAAACGTAGGCGAAGTCACATAATTAAGATTTGCAAGGGGAGTTGAATCAGACCAACTTATTCAATTTCTTTCTTTGTGCATATGATTTGAATAAATATTGGGGGAAAATATGTACAGGTTAATGTGGAGAAGTCCGTTGAATATTGGGACAGGTGAGTGAGTGAGTGAGGCCGGGTTCTCGCCGCTTTCAGCAATATTCCAGCAATATCATGGCAGGGGACACCAAGCATGGGCTGCACACATTGAACCCATGTGGGAAATCGAACCCGGGTGTTTGTCGTGACGAGCGAACGCTTTAACCACTAGGCTTCCCCATCGCCCGCACGAAAACGGAAAACGCCCGAAAACATATGCTCCGGCGATATGATCAAAGTTAGTCACAGAAAAACGTACATTTTTGTTGGTTTTTTTTGGTTCCAGATAAATGCACATACTTGACTACTATGCTTTGACAAAGCACAGTAACCGTTATATTTACCTAATGATTTAACAGAAATATGTGTGCCTCTTTACTAATGTAGCTTGTATCTATGTTCAGGCAAGCTGTGTTGCAGTGAAGGTTGTGGAAAGGAGTGCAAAGATCCAGTAACTCACGGTAAAAGGGAGGTAACTCACGCAGGTAAGTCTCCTCCAAAGAAAACTAAGGAAAAAGACTTTAAGCCACCCAAAAGAGTTAAGAATGAAATGAAAGGGAAATATCCTCTAAACTCGTTGAGGATAAACACAAGGTGGTAGTCATGGTCAAGTCTAAAATTCATGGCAGTCGTGATTTTCCCTTTGGCTGATTTGTTGTTTTCAGTCGCAATCAGCAATATTCCAGCTGTATGGCGGCGGTCTGTAAATAATCGAGTCTGAGCTAGAAAATACAGTGATCACCAGCATGAGCATCGATCTACGCATTTGAGAATCGATGACATTTGTCAACCAAGTCAGCGAGCCTGACCACCCGATCCCGTTAGTCGTCTCTTACGACAAGCATGGGTTACTGGAGATCAGTTCTAACCCGGATCTACACGGGTCTTTTCCCCTAGGACTTAAATAACGTGTATCACTCTGTAAGCTGGTACAGCCTGACCACTGGACGATTTGTCCGCAAGAACACTGAACGGGTGTCTAATAACCCAGAAACACATGACACTTTATGTTTCTTACAGATTTGTCTTATGTGGATTGGTGAGTCCAGCAGTTAAGGTGCTTGCTCGTCACACCGAAACTGAGGTTGAATTCCATGTTTCTCTTGCTTCTTCTCGAAGGTTCGTGCCCAAAGGCTGACCAGAACATGTTCGGGTTCTGCATATTCCGTCCTGGCATCAACTGTGTGAGTGATGACGAGTGTACAGCGGACAAGAAGTGCTGCCAAGAAGGTTGTGGAAGGGTCTGCAAGACGGCTGTTTAGATTCATGTTTGTTTAAAATCGTCAGCGGTAAAATTGGAATTTACCAAATCTAGCATTGTTACTTTGATTTTTAACACTAAGAGTGTAACGCTAAGCACTCTTTTCTTAAATAACTCAAAGATTGATTTCATTTAGATCAAATCGTGCAGCACAATCTCCATATATATCGGCTATCAACCTTACGCGCATATTGAAAGTTTAAATTGCCATATTCTGATCTGACAAAATACACCATCTTCTATATTTTGGAAATGAGACGACCACGAGAGCAAACATCAACAGAAGAGTGAGTGACTGAGTTTAGTTCTACGCCGCACTGAGAAATATTCTGGCTATTTGGCGGCGGTCTGTAAATGATCGAGTCTGGACCAGACAATCCAGTGATCAACGTCATGAGCATCGATCTACGCAATTGGGATAAGATGACATGTGTCAACGAAGTCGGCGAGCCTGACCACCCGATACCGTTAGTCTCCTGTTAGAACAAGCACGGGTTGGTGAAGACCAGTTCTAATCCGGATATCTACCTACCACTACGTAACACAAACTTGTTCGATACGAAGCTTTATATGTGAAGTTGAATCAGGGTCAAGGCAAAAGGTTACAGTGGGTATCGTTCCTGTCTGTTGCTGGGAGACCGCTGCTAGTCTCAGAATTGCTTAAATCGCTAAATAACCCTCTCTAATTCATTCTTTCGTTCTCTTTATCAGTCTCAATTTCTCTTCCTCTGTCACTCTACCTATCACCCCCACCCCCACAAATGCATTCCATTTTTAAAATCAACAGCTCATCCATTGTATTTTTGGGGTGAATGAGTATTGTTTTACGCCGCTTTTAGCAATATTCCAGCAATATCGCGGCGGGGGACACCGGGAATGGGCTTCACACGTTGTACCCACGTGGGGAATCGAACCTGGGTCTTCGGCGTGACGAGCAAACGCTTTAACCAAGAGGCTACCCCACCGTCCTTTGTATTTAGGTATGTGTAAACCCAAAAGCATATTGTTACGTGTGACGTTGAACTCTGAACCTTTCACATCAGCTTCAGAAATACGTTGCAGATTACCCAGCCTGTGATGTCACCACATCACGAGACATGTAACATGTGATCTACTGTTCGGGCCATTAGGTCGACATTAACGCCCAGCTGAGTGTTAATGTTGGCATTGATACTAACGTCAACTCTAGTTATAGAAACACCTCTATATACAAGCACTTGGAACGAACTTGGTGTGTTGGCCTAGTTACATCCCTCTCCTTTCAGTGACAAACTATACATTGATGCTATTATTTGCCTGACCCCAGTAGTTGAAGATGTGTGAGAAGGTCATACCCTGAAACAAGTCTATTCATACAGCAAAACAGCATGTAACTCTGTCGTCTGCTCCCACACACAGGGGCGTGTCACGCTTAGAAACAGCGTTAGAAAGACATATAGGTCTATATACCTATATGTCTTTCTAACACTGTTTGTAAGCGTGACACGTCCCTGTGCTCCCACAAGGGATGTCGACATATTGGGACTTAACATTACGCCATTTACTTGACTTGGAGTTTATTGTCTTTTGCAAAGATTCCATCCTATCACTTCACACAATATTGACTGGCACCTTCAGTCTTCAGTCTATACTGCATTTAACAACAAAGCATTGGCAGATCCAAGGGTTCGAACCCCCTGAACCAAATCCCCTGAAAATTCCTTTTTTTTTCCCCCGAAAATCTTTCTCTCCTCACCACACCACCCCCCCGAAAAATTCCTGGATCCGCCTATGACAAAGTACAATGCAGTTTGTCAATAAATGGTCAAAGGGGAGTAACTCCACGTAACATGATACTTCTGCTCCATGTCACCCTTACACTATACTACCCCCCACCACGGTATCAAGTTATATAGAGAATCTCACCCAAGTGTCTACTGATATCAGTTATATATCAATGATAAAGTTACAAATATCCGAGGCTTGTCGAGGATATTTTTACCTTTATCAACAAGTGTTGATATAATTGATATCAGTAGACACGAGGGTGAGATTCTATTTATCATCAAAAATCATTCTTCATTAGTTTTCAATTGAAAAAATGTACATCTCTCAGCACTGTACTCCCATTAGACTTGCAGTGCAGCGATGTCATAGCATTGTGACGTCATCAAGTTGATGACGTCATAGCATTGTCAGGGCATTGAACAAAATCTACTGTCAAAACGATATCTCCTAGGAGATATCATATGATCTTACACAAGCGATATCTCCTGTCGAACACAGTTTTGGATGATAAATATTGGTATTGCACTCTCTGTTGATTAAATATCTGTGCGAAATACGCTTTATGTTGGAAAGCGCACATAACATTTCCACCTCTTCAGTTCAACTTGTAGTCTGGCCATGCCAATACGCAAGTTTCGTCATGTCGCGACGACACAAGGAATAGTCACCATGCGTCAAATACAATGCAGGTTAAAATTTCAGTTTAAATGAAGAATAATTGTCATATCTGCTACTACATTGCAAGCTAGGTTTCCATTCCTGAGTTAGGATATCAGCAACACGTTGCTTAAATTCCGACAAAACTACTTCAACACTGCCAACACCTTGAAACACCCAAACGTAACCAAAACCGTAGCTTAATAAAACATGTTGGCGATCAACATTATTCAAGGAGTACAACATTTCATATGCTTTACGTGGATACATATCACTAGGCATACGGGTAACTCGAAGTAACTCTAAAGCAAACGCTTCAAACAGCACCAGAATTTACGATGATGATTCTGTGAAGCCAGAAAGCATAAGTTATCCCATCTTACTTATTGCCTGCCTGTTTTTTACCTCCAACTGTTGACTTATACAAAACCTGTTTATACTGAGTTTAAGTATGGCGTGCTTTACATTGTCTATGATGACTAAGCAACCTTCTATTATCCAGTTTTAAATCATAACATTCTTTATCATAGCTTAAAGTGTAATGGAACAGCTGAGGCTTATTCTTCAGTCAGTTCGCAAACCAGTAAAAAACTGGCACATTTTGCTGAAGAAGTGTTACTTGATGTCACGTTTCATAAAAAAGAGGACAGTAAGACCTAATTGATATGTATTGAAAATATAGGTGATGTGGTTGGCACACTTACACTTACACTAAACGCCAAAAGAAATGTTACCCTTCCTTAACGACGGAGGTACCTATCTTCAGCTGGCTTTGTGATGCGTAGACGTCCACTTCTTGGTCTGTCTACGGGGACCTCAGTCTGTCTGAAGCCCTGAAGAAGTCTTATAACCGTGATACGATGGCATCCGAGGGCGCTGGCAACAACCTTGTATGTCGACCCCATCTGCACCATCCCAATGGCTCTTTCTCTCTCTTCACCTGTTAATCGTGGCATATTTCTCGTACTTATGTATCATATCATACATTTTAAGCTCTCTTTATACCCTATAGAATCATTCTACATATGATATGGATGTAAATACTGCTTGAATGTTGATTGATATTGCTATATGTAAACAGAAAATGGAACAATGTTACTTTGCAAGCAAAAATATTAACAAAGATAGTTGTAGATGTTCCTAAACATTTTTTCACAATATCAAAGACACGTTTTACTTGTTTCCACTAATGCAAATCAGCAGAAAATGGTTTAAAATACTGAAATCCTAGGAATTACTGTTTTACAATTTTACACACTCTACAGCAGTGGTTTCTTGTTTTGATATTTGAAAAAAATGGTGACTTTAAATGGTTTATCTTTGTCTCAAAGCAGAATTTTTTTTCAACCTTTCTTTTGGACATCTAAATCACTGTTATTGGTTCATTTCGGCATGGACGAAAATAGGACAATTTAACTCCTCTGAAAACGATGCATTTCACCTAAATATGAATGCATTTGAGAAATGGTTTTCGTGATTTGCATAAAGCTGTGTTGTTAAGCTTTCTTGTAAACTAATACCTTCTAACATATCTTTGATAGTTTTTAAGTAATTCATAAATGTAGGAGGGTAACGTTTCTTTTGGCGTTTAGTGTACTTTCAAACTGCCAATACCCACAAACACAACGGGGCAAAACTGGGTTAAGGATTTCTTTTAAGCATTGTATTTTATTGTTAAAAGCTCTATAGACTGAAGACTGAAAGTTGCAAGTCCAGTTTGTGTAAAATAGACGGATCAAATCTTTGTGAATGACAATAAACTCCCAGACAAGTAAACAGTGTGAAAGTAACTCCCAATATGGCGGCGTACCTGTGTTGTGGGAGCAGACGACCACGCTTCGTGGGTTTTTTTCTGAATCCTAACATTGGCAACATATGCAAATGCTGCATTCGTCAATAATTATGTCAGCTAATGTCAGTTTATAATATATTTGTTATTCATAAATTTTACGCATACTGTATAAGCTTTCGACGTGCATTATCTAAAAGTGCCCTGCCAGGGACATACAGAGCGTGTCTCGCGCGGTCTGTCAAGGTGATCAGATTCGTTTACATTGTTGGTGATTGTCGTCGTATACCAACTGAGTAAATCGAAGGTCATGCCGTGCACCACTGCATTGTCTGGTTCAGACTCGATTACGTATGGACAACCGTCATATATACTGCTCATAAAAAGTAGTGGATATTGTAGTTAAACAGAGCGGCAAAAACACAGGAATGTAGATTTCTCCGAGTACTTTAGGTATCCAAGATAGTTTATGGATTAAAGCTTCTTTATTCTTTCCCACACAACGTTTCGGGATTATTACAGATCCCTTCATCAGGTGAAGTGACAGTTGATACTATGACGTCGACACTATGACGTCATAACTGCGTTATGACGTCACAAAGCATGTGACATCACAATGCACAAGGGAGAGTACAGTAAAGGTGAAGTTGAAACTTAAAATTACAGTGATATCTTGGACATCTATAAGACATCATACTTTAGGTATGTTTGAGGATAACCATTGGCCCACCTTAGCATGTTGCACACTAACCACCAGGTGTCCTGAGATCCGAAAACACTGGACCCAAACGCACCTGGGGGTGGGTATGAAAAAGCACACCATGTTTCACACGTGCAAATGATAAGACAAGGTTCACCTTGGACTTCAATGACGGCCGTCATCGTGTCTGGCGACGCCCTTGTGAACGCCACTAGCCAGCTGCCATGATTCCACACGATGGATACGGAAGGGGGTCTGTTATGGTGTGGGGTGGGATCACGATGACGGGCAGGACCGATCTCCACATCTGCCAAGTGATAGTCACTGGTGTCTACTACCGTGACCATATCATCACGCCACACGTACTGCCGTTTTCACGCCGCCACGGACAAGCATTCATTCTCCAGGATGATAACGCCAGGGCTCAGCGTGCTCGCGTTGTCCTTGACCATCTCCGGCAGCACCAAGTCCAAACTCTTCCGTTGCCAGCGATGTCCCCCGACCTCTCCCCCATAGAGCATGTGTGGGACATGCTCGGACGACGAGTGCAGGGGCGGCACCCCCATGTCAGGACTTGGCAGAACTGGGCGTGGCACTCCAAGAGTGAATGGCAGTGGATTCCTCAAGTTGACATTGGTCACCTCATTAGGATTATGACGTCGGTGTCACGTTTGTTTGGCAGCTAATGGTTGGCCAACCCGTTATTAACCAGTTTGTGACATTTGGGTTATCACCCCTGGTGAACTTCGCATTGTCTACAAAGAACATCGGCATAGTTATCAAAGTTAATTTGTTGAAAACTGTTGCTAGACATCCGTATTTCCACATGAACATTGTTTCCCAATGACAATTAAACATACGTTTGCCTTTATTTGTCTTATCTTTTCAATATCCCCTACTTTTTGTGAGCAGTATAGGTTCAATATTTTGCGGCATTAAAAACAAACCGTCCGATCCTTATCACTTGAAGTCATATCATGAAATACAAGCATACGATTCACTTTGAGCCCTATTCTGGTAAACAACTCCAGGCTATGTTCCAGGAAGAGTGCAGCCATATCATCCCCATAAGGAATGAGTGAGTGGGTTGAGTGAGTGAGTTTTAGATCGTTTTCAGCAATATTCCAGCAATATCACGGCGGGGAACACCAGAAATGAGATTCACACACTACACCAATGTGGGGGAATTGATCCCGGGTCTGCGACGTGACAAACGAGCGCTATAACCACTAGGCTACCCTACCGCCCCCATAACGTAATACGGGTTACCACCTTGCGGTGTCAACAACTGCCGGTCATGTTGACCCAATCGACTCAATCGATATGTATTGGTTACATAGGGCTGTTATCAGATTACAGTACAAGTGATATCTCTTCACGTTTCTTGGTTGCTCGCCGCTGCGTGACATATGACACAACACTCAATGCTGCATACTGAAAACAGTTTACTATAAATAGACCTGTTTCAGGGTACAATCTTTTCGGGGTATTGTAGGTGAGATTGTTTACTTTCCAAGAGTCGTGCATACACACAGACATATGTGTTGACTGCTTGTATGTGTCGGTACTTGAGTCGTTTTTTAGTCCTATATCCCACTGAGCAGAGTGACATGGACGCACCATACTGAATCGAGTCGTGTAGTCATTGTTATATCCCGTTAATGTCGAGCGTCAGGCAAGGTAACAAAAAGTGTCATGTTTTAACTATGGAGGTTGTCAGAGGTTACAGACAAATACTTGAAATGGTATTGTTTTAGGCTTATATATCAACAAAAGGTCTGACATGTGATAGCGAATATCACTCTTACCTTAACAGTTGTATACTGGTGGCATGAAGTGATGCGGGGTTTAACGGTGAAGATCATTGCACGATTTTTATAGCTATATGACGGCGGTATGTAAATACTCGAGTTTGGACCAAATAATCCAGCGATTGACATAATTAGAATTGACCTACACAATTGGGTTACGATGTGTCAACCAAGTCAGCGAGCCGAACCACTCGATCCCAATAGTCGCCTCTTACGACAAGTGTAGGTTAAGTCTAAGCCGGGTATTACCAGGTCTTATCTGACCGAGTGTTTCTTTGATCCATAGATTGATGCTCATGCTGTTGATCACTGTATTGTCTGGTCCATACTCGACTTTTTACACACCGCCGCCATAGAACTAGAATATTGCTGAGTGCGACGTTAAACAACCAACCAACCATTTTTTATGTGTCACTGTAAGCTTATCAACGTGTATTTATGATATTAAATACCGGCATGGTTTTATGGAATGTGGAAAGGCTACCATAGTTCTTTACAATAACGCATTGGTGAGTGTGCACATTTTATGTATGATGCCCTTGTGAGATCACTTTTCTGTACACGGTGTTAATGCATTGACACGTCTCCAGACCTCCGCATAAGCTGCGTTTTCTCTTCTTTTGCATTCTAGAAGTTGAGGAGATGAACAATGGCGACAATTTTCTTTTTACTGATATACAACTTCTTTATTCTGTATAGGCGACGTGTCGACATAGATTCTAATGTCGATTCTAACACCACTTGCTTGACAGCGACATTAGAATCTATGTCGCCTATACAGAATAAAGAAGTTGTATATCCATAAAAATTGTCCTCATTGTTCAAGCTGCGTTTTTGTTCAAAATACGAAACTATTTTTGAAAACAAGTATAATTCGTGTATCTTTGAAATACTTGCTCACAGATATGCATGACGAATCGAAAGAACCAACCAGGAGATCAACACAGTGCAAGAACCTATAGGTAATGCAGCTTTTAGCAGGTTGCAAACACATGTAGCCTTCCAGATATTTTGCAAATAATTAAGTACAGGAATCGTGTATTGAAAAACTCAACTGAACTGAATAACACATGGATTCGTAACATTCCGATTTGAATGACATGTAAGCAAACGCTTAACGGAGCCCTTTTCTCCCTCTCACATTTGTCTGAGGAACTGACAACCAGTTGAAGGGAAGTGATATGTACAATACACGTCTGCAGCTGGTAAGGTTACCTCAGCACATCCGTGGGGTTGTGAGTAATTCTTATTAAAAGACGTGTTTATATATCAAAGTAATACATACAAGCTAATGTAACCTGATCAAACGATGTTCACATTAGTTATCTACTGGTTTCAGTACTTTACATACTAATCACGTTGATAAGATTTATTCCAATGAATAATAAAACCAACATCGTTGTAAGTACAGATTAAAGTCAGGCATTTATTGAGGTTTTCAGAAATATCCTTTTTAGCTATTTTCAAAATGTTGTAACACAATACATAGAAAGAATTGGACACTAATTGAGAAACAACAACACTAATTGAGAAACAACAACACTAATTGAGAAACAACAACACTAATTGAGAAACAACACTTAGTCTTATTGGGAAACAACAACACTAATTTAGAAACAACAACACTAATTGAGAAACAACACACTAATTGAGAAACAACACTTAGTCTAATTGGGAAACAACAACACTAATTGAGAAACAACAACACTAATTGAGAAACAACACTTAGTCTTATTGGGAAACAACAACACTAATTTAGAAACAACAACACTAATTGAGAAACAACACACTAATTGAGAAACAACACTTATTCTAATTGGGAAACAACAACACTCACTGAGAAACAATTACAATTGAAGCACATAATATTCTGTCTCTTACGTCACAAACTAATGACTCCACCTCAAGACATTCATGTTGAGGAAGTCCAGGATGGACACATATCAACTTCAGAGGGCATTTAATGTGTTATAGCTTTGTTGTCATCATTATCAATAATACATATTTTAATACATATCGTTATATCTGATCCGTTTCACTAAGGCCTCCCACAAGATATCATCAAAATCGATCGTGTTTCATTGTGTTAGAGCGGAATTATATCAGCCACATTTGATTTAAACATGTGATGGCATAAAAAGGCAAAATAAACATGAGCAAAATATTGCATGTTATAGACTGACACAAATAAAGATGTTCAGACCATTTCTAATTAGGAGATAAACATTATGTGTTGGCCAATTTCCGGGTGTTATTGAGTATTTGAAGCACGGGAATTCATTTGGAACCAACGGCGTTGGCCGGAGGTTTCAAATGAAATATTATCGTTTATAGACATTGTGAACACAAAAGTAAACCAAAAGGTCCACACGTGTTTTTTTGTCTGCACTCACTGACATCGAGTACGGGTACGGCAGTGAAGTGTCATCAGCCGACCGTTTCGGCTGGTTCCCACGGTTGCATCTGGAACTGATCATTTGTGACGTCATTCCGACTTCATGTCACAATATGATTTGAATGACGCCACCACTTCTAACGACGCAACAATACAATTGTGAGCGATATTTATACGTATTAATATGCAGCGATTAATTTTCAATTTCAGGGAATCGAATACCATTCTTTCATGTTTTTCAGATGCTCATTAAACACTTGTGTGTGCTTTATCAGATCATGCATATGTTGACGTCATGGATAACAGCTACATTCATGAGGCTGAAGTAACATATAAGTTATTCTGGCAATAAGTCATATCTGGCGGCAAAATCTTCTCCAAAATCATATGAACTATTTACTCTTCCATTGGACTCCAAATGCAAAATAATTCTGCCTGAAACATGTTCAGACAGACAATGCATTAAAACTATCTTGGCTGTCAACTGATATTAGGAATTTGCAAATTTAATATTGACAAAGCTGTTATTAAAACTATTACGGTGCACCTGACCAAAAGAGTAAATAAAATTTAGACAACAACATAGACAACATACAGTACATACACAAAGCAACAGAACGCTCAAACAAACCCAGAGAATTCTATTCATCTTTTTCACATTTACATACTTTCACCAGAACTCGTTCTTGCATGAGATTATCCAACGGCCGCATTTAAAGCACTTCATCATTATATGATAATATTACTCGAAGGGGGTTAACGAACATCTGGATATAGCACACTTTATCATGAGAAACGTACTTAAATTATTTACGTTACTTACTGGAACTGTATTATTTAACACCTGCATATAGCACACTTTATCATAAGAAACATAAGTTTAGTATTTACACCGCTTTCTTTGATACAACTGATTATACTACACCTGATACAGCACACATTGTCATTAAGAGTATACTTTCTGTATATTAACCCAACTATCGTACTAGAACTGATTTACTTGAAACCTGCATATAGGAACCTTTCAATCAAATTATCCTTTGAGGTAATCTTAATGAAATTGGATTTTACAACTCCTGAGTTGGAATACTTTGCAATCAAAAACACACTGAACATATGTACACCTCCAACCTCCCAAAACCAAGACTAACAAAAGGGTATAGAAAATTTATCAGCAAAAATATTTACTAAGTATCTACATCACTAATCTTACTTGAAATGCATTATATAGCATCTGCATGTAGTAACTTTGTAACCAAAAAATACTGTATGTTACACATGAAAATATCGTAATTACATCAATAATCATAATAAAGTTGGATAATACATGCATACAGTAAACTTTGACATCCAATACACACTTCAAATAGAGATATATAACCATCCTAGGCCACATTGCACAACATCTGGATAGAACAATCTTTAACATCGAAAATTGTCTTACTTATTAAGACAACATTACATAACATCTGCATATAGCAAATATTGTCATCAAAAATATACTTCAGATATTTTACCATAAATGGACTTTCATACATCTGAGATATAGCGAATTCGAGAATCAAAGTATCTAAGTATCACTACAACTGCACAACAGAACATCTACACATTACACACTTTCTTTAATCACATCATTTATTTCACTAGAACAGGATCTTGATACCCCTGGGTATAGCAAACATTATCATTAAAACCATTCTCGGGGTATCTACATCACTAATCTCACCCTTGAAGATCCCACCCGTGAACATCCGACCCTTGAAGATCCGTCCCGTGAAGATCCGACCCCTGAAGATCCGACCCGTGAAGGTCCGGGTTAGAATGTACCTTCAGCAACCCATGCTTGTCGTAAGAGGCGACTAACGGGATCGGGTGGTCAGGCTCGCTGCCTTGGTTGACACATGTCATCGGTTCCCATTATGTACAGATCGCCGCCATATAGCTGGAATATTGCTGAGCGCGGCGTAAAACTAAACTCACTCACTCATTGAAGATCCGGGTTAGAATTGGTTTTCAGCAACCCAATGCCGTGCTTGTCGTAAGGGTCGCTGACCTGGTTGACACATGTTATCGTATACCAGTTGCATAGGTCGATGCTCATTACGTTGGTCACTGGATTCTTTAGCCCCGACTTGATCACCAAAACCACCCTTGTGGTATCTACATCATTATTCTCCCCAGCACTGGATTATAAAACACCTGCATGTTGCAAGTGCAATCAAAAGCATTGTCACCACCTATTTTGATAAAACTGGATTATGCAACTCCTAGATGTGTCAATTGCATCCTTGAAGTATCTACATCACAAATCTTACTAGACAACATTATACAACACGTACAACGTTCTCATCAAAAACACTCATCATAGACCTACATCACTTATCTCACTAGAACTGACTGGGTTATATTACACAGGGATGTAGCAAACATAAACATCACTGACTTTGCTAAAACTGGATTATACAACTCCTAGATATAGCAACTGCATCCTTAAGGTATGTACATCACAAATCTTACCAGACAACATTATACAACACATACAACGTTCTCATCAAAAACACTCATCATAGACCTACATCACTTATCTTACTAGAACTGACTGGGTTATATTACACAGGGATATAGCAAACATTAACATCACTGATTTTGCTAAAACTGGATTATACAACTCCTAGATATAGCAACTGCATCATTAAGGTATGTACACCACAAATCTTACCAGACAACATCATACAACACATACAACGTTCTCATCAAAAACACTCATCATAGACCTACATCACTTATCTTACTAGAACTGACTGGGTTATATTACACAGGGATATAGCAAACATTAACATCAAAACCATTTTTGAGGTATTTATATCACTAATCTCACTAGAACTGGATTATGCAACATCTAGATATGGCAAATGTATCTTTGTAGTATCTACATAAAAAATCTTACGAGACAAGCATTATAAAACACTTACATATAGCAACTTTCTCATCAAAACACATTTCATATATTTACATCACTAATCTTACTAGAACTAGATTAAACACCACCTGCTTGTAACAAACGGCGTAATCAAAAGCATACCTTACGTGTTGACATCACTAATTTTAATAAAACGGGATTGTACAACACCTAGGTATGACAAATGTGTCCTTGTGGTATCTGTATCACTAATCCGCATTAAACAACACCAGGAAATATTGTCATTAAAAACATTATAAAGGTATATATATTCATCACTAATCTCATTTGAAGTGCATTAAACAACACGTGAAAAACATTTGCAATCAAAATATTCTTGAGGCATTACTAGTAGTCCATGGGCTGATATAGGTGCCCCCATATCAATATATAGGTGTCCCCCCCCCCCAAGCTTATCATATGCACATTCAAATTCCAGGTGTTTGCAGGCTGGGTGCGGGGGATTTTTCCCGCAGTGACCCCCACAAAGGGGGTCAGGGTGGGAAAAATTTGGGAAAAGTAGTTTTTGCTTTTTTCACAAAATACATTCTAATAACTGCTTTCTATCAGGAACTATAAAAATATTTAAGGTTTATTGATTAGTTACAGGTACAGGAAGACATTTACTCTGAAATATGCATTGCGTCTAAGGGAAAAATTAAATTTTATAGCTGTTTTTCTACACTTTCTAGTGGGCAATTGTTTTAAGAAGGTATTCTTGTTTCAATAGCTCTAAAATGATCAAAATTAATGTTACAGCTATACTTAAAGCATGAAAAGACTTTGAGATGGTTTATTGTAGTCTGGGTGCTGGGGATTTTTCACGTTGTGATCACATAGTTCTTGCATGTAGCAATCTTTGTCATCCAGACTGCCTCCGTGGTGTAGTGGTTAGAGCGTCCGCCCGGAGAGCGGAGAGCGGAAGGTCGCGGGTTCGATCCCCGACCGCGTCATACCAAAACACGTTAAAATATGGTACTTGTTGTTCCCTGCCTAGCGCTCGGCATTAATGGGTACAAGGACTGGTCGGCTCGGAGTCAGTTTAAAGTGTCTGAGTGGGGTATTCATGCTTCACTGCGGCATGGTATCTCAGTGGGCTAGCACTATAAAACCAGCTTCAGTCTGGGCTAGTACAAGCATGCACGTCGTCATATGACGGAAATATTCTCCAGCACGACATTAAACCCAATTTCACCTCACCTCACCTCACCTTTGTCATCCAAAACATACTTTTAGTATTGATATCACTAATCCTAACAGTACTGCAGTATGCTTTGAGTCTTTACATATCAACTCTCACTAGACCTAGATCATGCATTGCATTTCCATTGTACACTATTTACATTGGTCACTGGATCTTCTGGCCCAGACTCGATCACAAAAACCATCCTTGGGGTATCTATATCATTAATCTCCCTATAACTGGATTATACAAAACCTAGGTATGGCAAATATATCTTTGTAGTATTTACATAAAGAATCTTACGAGACAAGCATTATAAAACACTTACATGTAGCAAACTTTCTCATCCAAACACATTTCATATATTTACATTACCTATGGTACTAGAACTTGATAATATTTACACAGGGATATGGCAAACATCAACGTCAAAACAATTTGTGATGTTTATTTACATCATTAATCTCCCTAGAACTGGATTATACAAAACCTGCATGTAGCAAACGGTATAATCAAAAGCATTGTCATCATTAATTTTGATAAGACTGGATTCAATACCTAGATGTGACAATTGCATCCTTGTGGTATCCATATCACAAATCGTACTAGACAACATTATACAACACTTACATATAGCAAACTTTCTCATAAAAACACTCATCACATATCTACATCACCTATATTACTAGAACTGACTGGGTTATATTGCACAGGGTTTTAGGAAACATTAGCAGCAAAACCATTTTTGAGGCATCTACATCAATAATCTCCCTAGAACTGGACTATACAACACCTAGATATGGCAAATGTATCTTTGTAGTATCTACATAAAGAATCTTACGAGACAAGCATTATAGAACACTTACATGTAGCAACTTTCTCATCAGAACACTCTTCATAGATCTACTCCACTTATCTTACTAGAACTGACTGGGTTATATTACACAGGGATACAGCAAACATTAGCAACAAAACCATTTTTCAGGTATTTCTATCACTAATCTCCCTAGAATTGGATTATACAACACCTACATGTAGCCAACGGTACCGTCAAAAGCATACTTTTGATTATATCACCAATTATAATAAAGCTGGATTATACAATACCTAGATGTGTCAAATGTATCCTTGTGGTATCTACATCACAAATCTTACTGGGCAACATTATACAACATTTACATACAGCAAACTTTCTCATTAAGACACACTTTATATATTTATACCACATATCTTACAAAAATAGGTTATATTACAAAGGGATATAGCAAATATTAGCATCAAAACCATTTTTTAGATATTTACATTTCTTAATCCCACTAGAACTGGATTATACAACACCAAGATGTGGCAAATATATCCTTGTGGTATCTACATCACAAATCTTACTATACAACATTATACAATACTTATTATAGCAACTCTTGCTGGACCAAAATCATGCATTGCCTTTACAACGTACACTATTTAGTCCAAACTAATTCATGTATGTAAAACAATACTAGAAGATGATTGTTCAACACAAGTATACAGTGAGTGGGTGAGTTTAGTTTTACGCCGCTTGAAGCACTATTCCAGCAATATCAGGGCAGGGACACCAGAAATGGGTTTCACACATTGTACCCTTGTGGGGAATCGATCCCGGGTCTGAGCGTGACAAGCGAACGCTTTAACTTCTAGGCTACCTTAACAGTATACAGCGCCACTATACAGCACACATGCAACATACCCCAAACTGACTCCTGAGAATATTATATTTAATAAAATCTGTCGACCTCAACTTGGTCTTGAATAACCGAATAACATCTTTGAGGTTTAGTGAAAACTGTGCTCACTGAGTGATATATAACCATGATTCTTTGGAGTCTGTGACAACGGAACACCCAAAATGCCTTCTGAGAATACCGGAAACAACAGGTGCGCCTACAAATTCAGGTGTGGTCCTCCTCATCAGTCCACGTGATCAATTCACCTTCTGGTCGTGCAGCATTGATTTATTCTGCAACCATGAAAAGATACATTCACATATTGCCAAACAAGTTTCCGAAACATCTGAAGCTGTTGTCGAGTCAGCGCCGCTTTGAGGTTCATAAAACGAATGTATGTAGACTCCAAACACAGTAAACATTTCAAAGAGATTTCTGTTCACAGTTTTAATCACAAGCATAACCCGAAAATGAGCGTGAATGAACGATTGTGTTGTCTCAGAGTTTTAGTTTAACCTTTCTTCCGATATAAGCAACCAAATGCTGAATTTACAGTAACATCTGATTGGCATAAACACCTGAAGCTGTCGTCGAGTCAACGCAGCTTAGGGGTTCATAAAACGAATGTATGTAGACTCCAAGCACAGTAAACAATCTAGCGAGATTTCTGTTCACAGGTCTAATGACAAGCATGTGATACTATTGTGATACTATGTGATACTATTGTGATACTACTGTGATACTATTGTGATACTATTGTGATACTATTGTGATACTATGTGATACTACTGTGATCATAACCCGAAAATGAGAATGAACGATTATGGTATCTCGGAGTTTGGGTTCAATCTTACTCCTCAATATAAGAAATCAACTGCTGAATTTACCGTAAATACATTCAGGACACTTGACTTCATCCAGGTTAGCTTTCTTGTACGGGTTGCCCTCAAAGAATGTGTGACCTGTTTAAGAAGATATATTTGTGTGAGCATTTCAGAAACAATAAATGCATAACAAACGTTATTATATCAATTACTATTCCAAGAGCTGAGCCATTTTCTGTGAAAAAAATGAGTTTGTTTGTTTGTTAATTGTATGTTTGCATTTATATCAGCTATATTCAACTGGGGAGGGGGTGGGGGTGGGGTGGGGTCGTGACCACAATTTCATGTGTCTAACCACCAACACGTGTGTAGAATTTGCCGCCGATTAGAAATACCACGTTAACAATGATTGTAATATGAACAGTTTATCATTTCAAGCCTTACAAATGATGAACCGGAAGGAGCAATTGACATGCTCCTGACTGGCAAGTCTACTGTTTATGTTGCACAAGCCATGAGATGCAGTAGATAGACTATTCACAAAGTGAGGACAAGTGTGCATCATACGGGTACGACATCTGATCGCCCTAGTATGTACTCAAATACAAACTGAAACATTAGTCTCATTAACCAATTCAGACAATGACCTACTTTTCAGCCGATCTGAATTTTCTCATGTGAAGAGAAAAGAGACACTACAAACAACTATGATTACATTGATTTTGGAATCCTTGCTTCATAAGAAAATGATATTTCCCAAATAATCTCAATTCTAAACTTTAATAAAATCGTATTTCTACATTTTATGTCGATGTTGAGGCAGCATGCCGTTAACTAAGACGACACAGACTGTCCATGTTAGAAGAGGTCGTACAATGATTCATTATTTATCTGGCACACTGGTTACACCTGTTATGTATTGTTTGCGCTTCTTAAGTGTATTTTTGCAACGTACAATGTGATTTAAATAATATTAAGTTCGTACCAGACAGCCAAACTTTTCTAGCGGTCGAGCCTCGTTTTGAGATTTCCATGATTTCCATATTTCCGTTTGTCAGAGCACGTTGAACCACAGAGCATGCTGCACGATGTGTTTGCAAGGATTAGAAGGAGCGTAGTGTTGTAATATACACGTGATTAGATGTAAGAAATAATACTGATAAATATTGTATATCCAGTTGAATGAGTCGATCTCACAATCCTGGACTGGTTATTGTACTAAGTTGCGCAATAGGACGTAACCCAGTCAGCAGGAAACGAGACTGTTGTGTACTCAATGTTTTGACTTGTTATGTCATGTTACTCTCAGTAAGCCTTTGCCAAGTAACTAGCTGATATAAATTCAATGTAGTGAGCCGAAACTGGAAATGGGGATCTCCACGCCATATGTTACTAACCTGATTATGTCACGGTCGTGGATGCGTTTATTTCCTTACATGGTTAAACTTGGGTAATAGTGTTCCTTCGTGTGGTGATACATAAACATACGCTTATAAAACTTACCGTTTCTGCATTTGAACCAGCATCCAAAAACGAGAGGTTTGGGTAGATCAATATCTTGGACATGAAGCCTTAATGGTAGATCCTGAGATCCAGGCACATACAATGTCCCTGTGAGGGTTTCTATCTTGGATAATACGCGTGGACTGAGTGGCCCTTCTTGCCGTAAGAGTCTAATGCCGTTTTCCACAGCACGGCGCTCAACATCAGGTAATTTAGAACCAGGTTCAACTTCCGTATCAGTAGAAGAAAAGTTCTCTTCTTTGCTGTTGATGATGTCAGCATGTTCCAGAACTTTTAGAAGGGTCAAGAGTAACGTCTGACGTTTCAGTTCCTTTTCTGCATCAGATGTTTCTTGTTCACTGAAAAACTTCCTCAATTTCCAAATCCACTTCTTTAAGTATTTCATATCCTCTGAACACCGATTGATCACTTCCACATGTGACGAAGACGCATCCCAATTTCTTATGATTTCATCAATATTCTGTACATCATCTAACAGTGAGAATCTAATTTGTGCAGTTATCCAGCTAAATTCATCTTTCCTTCTGAATCTAGATCTTCCAAAATAACCACTGTGATGTAATTCTGTTTGGGGCATGGCTCTCTCGATATCTTGTTGAAAGATCTCTTCTTCCTTTGTCTTAGTAGTGGATAGTTCAACAATATCAGCCTGCATGCATTTTAGAATTTGATTATATCTAGGATTGTTTCTTATAGGGTCTGCACAATAGGGGCAATTTCTATAACCTATTTCAGCTACCCCATATTCGTTGAAAAATGGTTGCATCCACAAATCCAGAAAGTTCTTATCCAACATGTGTCCACAGTCAGAAAGTTGTACAAAGCTTGGTCTGTGTCTAGAGGCGATGCGCATCAATGAAAATTCGTCTGGGTCACATGTTCTGCAAATGTTTGGGCATTTCTCGCCACATAATCCAGGACACAGATGCTTGCATGGGAGCCGTCTTTTGCATGGTCTGGAGCAACGTTCACGTCGACATGTATTGCCACATGATTTGCGACACGGAAAATGTGGACAGCGTGAAGTGCATTTCTTGTTACATCTCGTACATTCTTCACCACATTTGTTTCCACACTGACCGTGATCACAAAATGTTGGACAATTGCGACTGCAAAGGTGGGGTGTATGTCCCTTTAATTTCACTAATATGCCCGCAAACAAGCATGCATTCATGTTTCTTTGTGCACTGGATATGTAAACGTCCTCCCCAACATTCAAAGCATGACCCATCACAGGGATGACCACATTTCAGGTTCGTTTTGCACTTTACTTCGCACTGAAGATTCAGGAGATCTCTATCGTCACACAGAATGGACTTTAGATGGCCACAACTCATGAGCTTGAGTATGAATGTTTTACACCTGCACTTTGTGCCACACCATTCGCTACATGTGTGCCCACACGGTAAGATTTGCTCACAGTTTGTCTTGCACTGTACAATCATAGGATCAGTAGAGCACTGAACGTATTGTTCATGTCCACATTTGGGAAGAATTTTAGGAACTAAGACTGAGCATCTCCCACAAATTTCATGACATTTCTTCTTGCATGGATGTCCCTCTTGGCATACTTTCTCACAGTCGTGTTTACATTTGATAAATCTTGGGTCGAGATAACACTCAGCTTCTTGCTGATGACCACACTTTGACAAAGTCTGAGGAACCTTAATTTGGCACGGTCTACATCGTTCAAAGCATTTCTGTTGGCACTGATGACCCCTCGCACAGGTTTTTTCACATTGCATTTGACATTGTTCTTTTTCGGGAGGTACAAAACAGTATCCCTCCTTAGGATGGCCACACTCTGGCATCACTTTGCTGACAACAAACATACATTTCCCACACTTGTCAAAACATGGCTTTGGACAAGGATGTCCAGCTGGACATTTTTGGAGACATGCTTTCTGGCATTCATATAAGTTATGCTCTCTGTCAAGTGGATGGCACGATAATTGGCAAACATGTCCACAATTAAGTCGGTAGTCACACTTTTGCAGGCAACCTCCATCAGGAGCAGCATTGAAGTCCTCTGGTTTAGTTGCAACAATTCCCTCCATGTTTGAATGGTTTTGGCAATACAGAGGTAATCCCGGTCCAATTTCACCCTTTTGTTTCACGTCAGAGATAATCCTTCTCCAGATGTCACTCTTTTTGGCCAACAAATCAAAATTGCCTATGACATACATTCCCATCTTTGCTCTTGACAAAGCCACACAAACTCTGTTCTCAATCCTTAGAAACCCAACCTTTTCCTCGACGTTACTCCTTACTAGTGACAGGAGGATAATATCATTCTCCTCACCTTGGAAATTGTCCACAGCCGTGACATTGACACCACGGAACTCTGGCTGTGGCAATTCTTTTTTTATGCTAGAAACTTGACCCAAATACGCACTTAGAATTGTTATCTGTGACTGCTTATAGCCTTGCAGGAGGAGATACCTGCAAAGTCTAACTAGGTAGTGTACCTCAAATTCATTGAAGTGACTCATTGAATCTTCTTTGTTACCTTCTTTTTCAGAGTGACTGATGAAAAACAGGTTCTTGGCAATACCTTTTATGTCTTCAATGGTGGAAACTTTGGGATGGTCCTCAAGACGAAGGTAAATGTGTCTCATCAGTCTCGAAATACAGGGCCGCATTCGATGCTGAATTGTTAGACAGTTGATTCTGAGTCCATTGTTAACCATTCTCTCAAATAATGAAAGTTCAAGTTTGTATCTTTTGGCTAAAGTATACACATTTGGATTGGGACGAAGCTGCTGGTGATCTCCAATAAGGATAAGATGTTCACATCCTGGATGTATTGATGTAACTGTATGACTTTCAAGAACTTCTGCCGCCTCTTCAATGACAACAATGCGTGGCTTAACCAACTCCAATAGTTCATAGTTCTTTGCGGCCCCTGTTGTAGTCATTCCAACTACCTTTGCTTCTTTCAAAATATCCACATCAATCTTTCTTTCCGCATTTTTGTACTCTGTTACCGTTTCTTTGAACTGGCAAAGCTTGTCATTCAACTCATCCATCTTCCTTGTTTCAAGAAAATCTTGTAATAATTGTACCCAGTACCAATATAGACGGCGTCGGTCATTCCATTTCAGTTTCCAGATGTTTGTGACATTTTGTACTTCCTTGGTTGTCATGCTTCTTCTATTATTTAGTAAACCCTGTACATTTCTAAGAATGTCTTCCTTTTGTTTTTTGGACAGTTTCTCCAAAGCATGTCCTATATTTTCCTCATCTTGACCATCGCCGCCCTCTGAAACAGATTCAGTTATGTCTGTTATTGTCAGAGCAAACATTCTGTTTTCAGTTTCAAGTAACTGGCGGTTCTGAATATAGTATTCTTGTGGATTTGGAACCACACCAGCTTTACTCTGTAATCGTTTGTTGCGCTTTGTAAGGATACCAAATCCCAACCAATTAAGTATAGCAGAATTGCAATGTCTTCTTTCAAACTGCTTTGTGAGATGACAGAAGTGTTGTTTTATGAAGGGCTTCAAAACATCTTCATGAATGATTCCTTCCCTTAAGACGACTATTTGCCATCCGCATTTCTGAATGTCTCTCTTACATATTGTCAGTTGATTTTGTATGTTCGCAAGAGACCTTCTGCTTTCCCTCTCCAATCTTCTATGCATGATGTTGAAGTTCTTTACTGTCTCACTTTTGCTCTGACCACCTATGCGGACAATGCTTCTGTGGTCTTCTTTTTTCATAAATCGTGATATTCCCTCCATAAACTGATCCAAGGCGTGATTGGTGTAACACACCAACAGTATTGGACTTGTTACACCATGTTCAGACACATCTTTCTCACCTGTGGTTCTGTGCCACAAGTTTATATTTGATAGTAATGTTTCCACAATTTTCAGACCTACATATGTTTTCCCAGTACCTGGAGGACCTTGAATGATGGAAAAGTCCTCTGTCAGGGCAGCTATATATGCTTTGTGCTGTGATTCGTTTAATTCCAGGTCTTCAGCATTCGGCCATGTGTCATCGTTTACACCTTGACCATTTTCCTCTGATCCAACATCCACTTTTCCATTTTCATCAGGATTTAATTCTGACACCAGTGTCGGTCTAGTTTTTCTTGTTGATTTCTGCAAATTTGATTTTCCACGTTGTTTGACAACCTTAGAAAAGTCGATTGGTGTGCTGCAATATCTCATATATAGAGGAGGCCTTGTACATGTTTCACATTTAAGAATGTATCTTGTGAATGGCAAATCATCAGTGACGCATTTGAGAGCCTCTAAAACAGGCCTGTACGCTTCAAAATAAGCTGGTGTTTCTATCATGACATATGGTCCTCCTTTCAACAGGCTACAAGAAGCCCTGTAATCTATCTCAAAACGCACAGTGACATTGCCTTTTTGAAGTTCCTCTGAATTCCTTTGTTGAACTGTTGCATTAATAAATGTCTTGAAGTTGTCTGAAGATATGCACACAAGTGTATCATTTTTCAGACGTTTGGTGTTTTCCCATGTAATTTCTTTCAGTTCTCTAGTGTCAAATGAAAGTGTGTGAAGTATTGCCGTATCTGATGACCACACAACACCTTTGATGGTAACACCTTTATAAACCTTGATACTTTTCCTAATGCTTCGATCTTTCTGGTAATCCCAGTATTCCTGTATTCCTTCTCTGAGTGGCTGAATGAAATCCTCTCTCAAAAGCCTGAATTGGATGTCCAAATATTCATCCATATCATCATAAGTTCCATGCTGCTTGTTTTTTCTGAGGAATGGTATGTTTCTCATGTTTAGATCTTCCCCTCTTGGAAACACAGACAAGGTCCGGAAATCATCAGGTGGTTTGATTTTCTTTCGCTGCTTTTCAGCCTTTTCTTTTTCGTTGTCAAGCCTGTTCAGTATTTGTCCTTTTATATCTGAAAATATTTTCATTTCTTGAGAAAGATCTGTATTCCATATTTCTGTTTCTGCAGTTATTGTTTGAAAAACGTTCTGTATATGCTTATCCAGACCCATTGTCAACATGACACTACTTGGAATGCGACTACTCATATGTTGTAAAACAATGTATAAATCCTTTAATGTATGTGTCGCCTCCTCTCTAGTGCAGTCTCCATTTGACATTTCAGTCAGCATGTTATTCACAGTCCAATTCAATAAATTGGAATTCTTCACAGCAACCAGCATCTTTGAGACATTTTCAGATGAACTACTCCTGCATCCTTTAGCCAGAATAGAAATGATCAGTGTGGTGCTCTCTAAAGTCCAGTTATTCGTATTTGAGCCTGTCTGAAACCACCCCCAAGTATTTGCTGTGTAGTTCGCGATACTGTCTGAGGACCGACACTTTAATTGTTGAAGACTTTGTAAAGACGTATTTTCTTTTCTGCAAAATCCAGAATCATTATCAGCATCTTCAGCAGCATCACTGCCAGTCATTCCTTTCTGCATACGTAAAACTGAATCATCTTCTAAATTCCTTGTTGCCATAGTCCTATGATCATTGTTTAGTACCTCATTGATCTCAAATTGCTTGCTGTTTGTGTCAGTGGGCGCCTGTCCTCTTTGCTCTGTGGGAAGTTTGTAATCAGCCACGCCCTGTTTCCTTGTTTCACACCTTGGTTTTGACACAAGCTTACATCTTTGATATTTTTCGTCATGTTCATGCACCCCCAAGGTATTGAAACAACTCGATCCCTCTGGTTGAAGCCATTTATTGTATCCTCGAGTCGTTTGTGCAGTACTTTGAGAAACCCCTCGTCCTGTCTTCCTATCATCATTCCTAATATCATTTAAGCGACAATTTACATCAGATCTCGTCATGTAGCGTTTGGATTCGTGAGGAACTTGTGTTGAATGCCTCTTTTGACATTCAGATGTTTCTCTGGAAGAATCTTCATTGGTCTGGTGTTCTAACAAAGGATTATCACCGGATCCACACCTCTTTCTCATGTCATCTTCATATGCCACGACTTCAGACTCTGCAAAATGTGAACCGAGAGATGTTTCTGACTTTGTTTCGCCAACGTTTCTTCTTCTTTCTCCTTGATATGTCATCCTGCTGTACCGCTGGGGCACTCTGTCCTTTCCTTCTCGGACAGCGTGTTGATCTTCACCATGGTATCTCAAAGCCTTGTTTCTGTCCATTGCATGACATCCGACTTGGTCCAGCAGTCACCTGCAGAAAATATTTTACATTGATTTCTTGAATCTGTTCCAGGTGATGGGATGTTATATGGTACTTTTAGTAAAGATTACCGGAAATGGTTGTTGTATTAAAAGCAACCCGTTTGCGTGCTCAAAATGTAGTTGCCCATATTTCTAGCATTTGCACTTTCAACAAATCACCCGCGTCAGATCAGAGCAAAGAATGTCTGGAATTTTCTATGGTACCCATCAGCAGATCCACCTGGTCATATCTAAAATGTGACATGTTCTGTCCTTTTAGCAAGGAGTGAAATTGTCTGGAATTTGCAAATCAGCCCAGTCAAATATTCAAGATCTTAAACATGATATTCATGTTGAAATGTTAGTATAACCTTTGCGTGCAGTGAAACACGTTAGTTAATAGCAACTCTTTATCTTTCTGAACAATATCTAATTTTACACATTGTGTATCTGAAACACATGTCAAACAAAGGATGCATTCGTGTACTCGTTTTGAATTGTTTGACATCAGAACAGCAGCTTATCAGACATAGGTTAACGGGTGAATGAGTGAGTGAGCGAGTTTAGTTTTATGCAGCTTTTAGCAATATTCCAACAACAAAAATGGGCTTCACACATTTTTTTAACCACGTGGGGAATCGAACCCACGTCTTCGGCGTGACGAGCGAAGGCTTTAACCACTTGGCTTAACAAACACGCACGCATGCACGCACACACACACGCACGCACGCACGCACGCGCGCGCGCACACACACACACACACACACACAGCCCCCTCTTTTTAACATTAGAATCCATGAACTACAACAATCGCTTCTAAGTAATAGTATGAGGCATCTGATCTTCAGTTGGACTACATGATCTTACATAGGTTTAGGGGGCGCAGGGGTAGCCTTGTGGTTAAAGCGTACGCTCTTCATGCCGAAGTCCAGGGTTCGATTCTCCACATGTTTCCAATGTGTGAAGCCCATTTCTGGTGTCCCCGCCGTGATATTGCTTGAATATTGCTGAAAGCGGTGTAAAACTAAACACACTCACATAGTTTGGGCGACGGTTTGCCACAGACCCGATCCAAATATTCAGTGCAGACCAAGTCTAAACTATATAAGTACGACCATAGGGCCCAGAATGTTTGTCTACAAAGCCACTCTTATTCATTAGTATGGCGTAATATCAGCAATTCACTTTTACTAACGTATTTCAAATTACGCTAAAGCACTCTATACATACCTGTTGTGCGCGGTCGCAAGAGCAGACCGTCTCCAATGCTGACACAACTATTGTGATCAACAGATCGACAATAATTGTCACTTCGGCCGCCTACCGTATTTCTTCTAATAAGCGCTGGAAATGTAATAAGTGCCGAGGGTAAAGCCGCTCAGCGCCGAGGGTAAAGCAGCTCACTAACAGTTACGGTAATTTCACCCAGTAACCGCAAATGCGCCGGGCCTCTAATTAGGCTGGGTCTGGTGAAAAGTCCGAGCGCTTATAAGAGGAAGTACGATATACGCGAACTCAGCTGACACAAGTTCCCAGGAAGCGAAGTGTGACGTCATCTCAAGTACTACCGGTGTGATATCAGTTTGGGCTTAATGCCAAGTGCAGTACATGCATAAAAACCCCTGTGATTGCGCTTGCTCAATAACGCACAGTCGTATAGCGGAGATCGATCGCGTCTCTCTATATGGGGAGTGACAATGTGATAAGTACATTGATACGTAAGGCAATCGAACCGGTTATGTATTATTCGGCACAAGTTTGTGCAATATCGTTCAGCAATATATTTATATCTGCTTGTCTTATATTGACTTCGCACTCACGTGTGGGAGTGAATGAGTCTGGTTTTACGCCACTTATTCCAGCAATGTCACGGTGGGTGACACTAGAAATGAGCTTCACACATTGTCCCCCGTGTAGGGAATCGAACCAGGATATTCGGCGTCACGTTTTAACCATTAGGCTACCCCACCGCCCCGCGAGTTAGTGACTTGGTGCGCTTAAATATTTCATTTTAGAGTGGTGGGGTAGCCTAGTGGCTAAAGTGTTCACTCGTCACGCCGAAGAACCCGGGTTCGATTCCCCACTTGGTTACAATGTGTGAAGCTCATTTCTGGTGTCCCCCGCCGTGATGTTGCTGGAATCTTGCTAAAAGCGGGGTAAAACAACACCCACGCACTCACTAAATAGTATTTGTTGGAGTTACGTAAAAAGTAGTGAGTCGTTGGTATTAATAACAATATCAATATAGATATAAATACACATGTGTTTGTGGACTTTCGTCATCTTTGCACTCACTCGAGCCTAGAAAGATGCATGCCAGATTCATCTTCCGAAAGTAAAGTTCTTTGCACCATTCCCACTGCATCATAAGCACCAACCATTAGTACTGGTCTTTATTAACCCATGCTTGTTGTAAGGGGATCCGGTTGTCGGACTCGCTGACTTGGTTGACACATGTCATCGTATACCAATTGCGTAGGTCGATGCTCATGATGTTGATCACTGGATTACAACATGCATGGCTTGCCGAAGATCAATTTTAACCCGGATCTTAACGGAAATGCATTAAATTAAATATTATTTTAGAATTAACAGTATATAGTAAAGATTGCTACGAAGATCTTACTTCGAGATTTACGGTTTTTCAGATTGTTAATACTGTCAATTATTTTAATCTATACTACCCTTCAAAAGTTTAGACTCACCTAAAGCACTCACTATATGTGTGTTATATATATATATATATATGTGTGTGTGTGTGTGTGTTTATATATATATATATATATGGTTATATCGAAGATGAATTTCTCCACTAACATGGGGGAACCAACTGCAAGCTTTATGCAGATGAATTGTACGAGGATCATGCTTCAAATTGCTTAAAATCATTAGTAAATATCGTTCATGTGAACAGCTGCGTTTTTGGTGTAAATTTTATTTTAAGAATTCGCCAATTTTTCACTGATTTTCATCTTTTACTGAACTCATGGTAATAATCTTTTCAACGTTACGAATTTGTTTTTCAATAGTTCTGGTGTAAACAATACCTTAAGACTGAATGGAATATTTTGCAAAATCAAGTTTAGAACAGCTGACTGAAGTAAGTTGCTACATTTACACTGGTGAGTCTAAACTTTTGATGGGGAGTATATTAATCGACACATCCAAAATGTCAGTTGATAAATTATTTTTCGGACGCTTCAGACACTTTATCTTCATGATATATATCACGCACACAAATGTACTTCACATTTTCTAATTCCGCAGGAGATTCCCTGTTTCTTGATACCATTCACTATTATGTCACACCAAGCTAAAGTGCTTAAAATAACTTTTCAAAATAGGCTTTATCGTAAATGTCGCCATTTTTAACAAGATACGAAATCGCGATTCACAGCGTCATTTGCTCTATGTTTTGAAATGCGAAAATCGGATAATTACTGGGAGTATTGAATTTCAAAAATAGCATATTAATGATCACTTATGTCAGTTTTTCATGAAACCACAAATGATAATTCTGAAACTTGCCGATGAACCTAGAATCGGTTGGGATGTTTTCGAAAATGCACCTACACGAACGCCAAAGAGCGCTTTCCGCCATATTGGATACTGTTTACAAAATCATGTTTCGCGAAGGCCGGTATTGAGACGCCTATTACATCACGTATATTTCATATCCAGCTGCGACAAATGCATGACTGAATTCCCCACACACCTTAGAATCAAATTATAAATGATATTTGTCACCAAAACAAAATATATTAGTGATAAGGTGTGAAAACGAACGCTGTGCTCGAAAGACTACGCGTGTTTGAAATGTAAACAGTGACAAATTCCGATTTTCTGTATTTTTCCGACACCCAGTCGTCTATTCATTGCTTGAAATGGCTCAATAGCTGTAGAATATGCATGGAAAGAGTACCGTAGCAAGAAATAGAAAATTCATAATAGATACAATGCGATGATTTGGTAATTCAGAAGAAATTGTGAAAGTTTCCGTGCAGCGTGATGCCAAAACTGATGCAAAATTACGCAGAACGACAACGGTAATTATCAGCATTTCTGGCTTCTTCTCTCACTCACAGTGAAAACATATAACAATACACATATAGTCAGAATCATTCTGATTTCTTACATCTCAGATTTATGTACAAACGATCCCTGAATCAATGGAAGGGTCCTCGCAAAATCCCGTGTACCCGTGAAGCCGAGACCTTTTTATACAATTAATGGTAATTAGGTGAGATATATACTAATCAGCATACCAATGTCGTCTTTTTCCGACGTCGCAAAATATATAAAACAAGCAATGACGTCAAATACAATGCTGTAATCTTTCCAGTAATTTCATTACATTTGAAGATATGGCTAGTACTCGGTTAATAATGATGCAATATTAGTCAACCTACAGCTACAGAAACAGGGAATATGTGAATCTAAAAACTAATTTACATATTGGATTGGGCCATCCAAATCGCTATTACGTGCTTTCTCATGTAGTACATTGTCATATTTTCTATATAAATTGTGACACTACCAAAACGTATCCGCTCACATTGGGGAACTTTGTATTGGAATAGTTTGGTTCATGGGGAACAAAACATAACGAAAATATAGCGTCCATATCCACAACAAATTCTATCCAAGTGATCTGAGTTACATTGACCTAGTGTTAAGAATAGAGGAGTTATGCCCCTTATCTTTATACGTGCATGACCTCTATGTCGTCGTTTGACGTCATACAAGGAAATCCATTTTCGACATTGATTGCGAGTCATTTTTAATGTTGAGCGTATAACGTTATGCATAAGCACACAAACCCATTTCATATACACTTATGTTGTTCAGATATCAGGCTGTATTTTCTTCGCTCACATTTTCCATATAGATGCCAAATTAATAAAATCGTAGCACACTGTTTTTATCGGTGCATGATAAAGAGCGGAGAAAATTACTGTTTTTAACGCTTTACAAACTTTGGGACAACATTTAGCAGTGTCTATTTCTCAAACCGCCGAGGTATTTGCGCTTATATTTATACCAACGGATAGGAAATTTAATATTCTACATTTCTGTGTAATTTCATAGCCGTACGCAGATCCAGGACCACGCGAGCGCAATCTCGAACAACGTTTACTTTTCAAACCTATTTATATTTATATTATTTGAGCTCATTTCTGATGTGACCTGTCGTCATATGTATTGCTAAAAGTGGTGTAAAACCATATTAATTCACTCGCACATGTGAGTGCAAAGTCAGTATAAGACAAGCAAATATGAATATACCGATGAGTGTCATTTCATAAATTGTGCCGAATAATACTTAAACTGTTCGATCGCCTTACGTATTAATGTGTTTATCACAATTAAATGAAAGAGAGACGCGATCGATGTCCGCCATAGGACTGTGCGTTATTAAGCACACGCAATTGCATGAGTATTTATGCATGGTAACATGCTCTGTGGGTGGTATTGATACTGTACCTGACATTAAGTCCAAACAGATGTCACGTTGGTATTTGAGATGACGTCAATCTCCGCTTCCTTGAAAAGAGTGTCAGTTGACTTCGCGGAAAACATACACGGCCGAACTGATATTCCTTGTAGACCTGTTGATCACAACAGTTGTGTCAGCATTGGAGAAGGTCTCCTCTTGCGACCGCGCACAACAGGTATGTATAGAGTGCTTTAGCATAACTCGTAATTCGTATGTGAAATCGAATGGCTGATATTACGTATATTACGCCATGAATGGGAGTGGCTTTGTAGACAAACATTCTGGGCCCTATGGCCGTACGTTTTAAACTTGGTCTGCACTAAATGTTTGGATCGGGTCTGTGGCAAAACTTCGCCAAAACTATGTGAGTTAGTGAGTTTAGTTTTACACCGCTTTCAGCAATATTTCAGCAATATCTTGGCGGTGGGACACCAGAAATGGGCTTCACAAATGTACCTATGTGGAGAATCGAACCCTTGTCTTTGGCGTGAAGGGCGTACGCTTTAACCACCAGGTTACCCCTGCTCCCCCTAAAACTATGTAAGATCATGTAGTCCCACTGTAGATCAGATGCCTCATATTGTAACTGTAAGAAGTAGCAGTTCTTGGAAGCCACCGTGGCAGGATGCTTTCCGGAAACTCACCGAGTCACGCGTCAATTTATTCCTCTCACTGTGTGAGTGACAGCATGAAGATATTGTGAAAGAAAATACTGATAATAACAATAGAGTATGCACGTATGCATGTTTATTACCCTTAAGATACAAT